AATAGACCACCACCACTGAATTTATGTGTGTTCCCAGGAACAGAGAGACATATTTAAAGTAAAATATTTACAGTCTGGAGCACGTACCCTGTGCAATTTATAACAAGTCTACCTTAAGAGAAATTTTAGGCTTAAATTATTTAATAGCGTGTTTACATTAATATTTGCTCATACTGATGGAAAAACTGAAACATTAAATAAAGTTTCCTATGATTGCTATTACAGACTGCTTCCCCACATATATTCTTCCTAGAAAACCTTACATACTGAAAACATACAAGATCATTAACAATAGGACAAAGGTGTGATTGAAGTCAGGAAAACAAACTTGGTTGGCACATCATGACATGGGCATGAACTGTATTTACAAAATAGAATTTTTGGTGCATTTTTTCTTCATTCTAGCTTTTTATCAAAAATACTGTAAATAAGCATTCTTGCAATTTAGAACATATGAGAGAAGCAAAGCTACAAAGAACAGAAGAAAAGAGAAAAAAGGTTGATTTTAAGCACAAGATATTTTAAGTCGGGTTTAAAAAAAGACTTAGCAGCATCATAAAATAAATAGAAATGGCCAACTACTAAGAAGCTTGAAAAAAGCTACTCTTTAAAACATTATAGAGGTTTCTAAATAGCAGAGTCATAAGGATAGCATGCTGTTGAGAGAAATACTGAAAGTCTGAATTTCCTCCTTTATTCTTGACTGATGTGTGATCTGAAAAAAGCCTGCTATTTACAGGTTGATACCACACTTGATAACACTTCAGTCTGGATAGCAAGTTTTAAAAAAATCTGAAAGTAGAAATATTTGAGTTCTAGTTGCAGGCACTGATATTAATCTAAAAAAAGGAAAAGGTGATCCATGATATCAGAATTAAAAATAATTTCCAGTAAAAATGCAATTGAAAACAAAGGTATAAAAATATATATACACTGGCATGCAAGACAGTGTCCAGTGCAGCAGTACTCTCCTGGCAGGCAACATGGGAGACTTCAAAAAGTTAAGTGCAGCATATACAGACTCCAGTAAAAGCAGCCTTGGAGTAGCATCTTGGCCTCACCATCTCTCCCATACAGGAGGAAGACCTTTCAGTCTAATATCAGGAACGAAGATTAGATATGCCATTGATTTCAGTACATGCACTGCCAAAGCCACAAAACATGGCAGACCTTTTTCAAGTAAGAGTTGCACATATGTAATTCTGAAGTATAGACTGACTACCCTACATCAGCTTGCTTAAATAGATCCAGCATTTGGCTGCAATACTTGCTGCCTGTGTCTTCTCTAGAGTAAATATCAGGATGGTCAAAGCATTACTCTTACTTTATCGTTTGGAATTTAAGACTTAGGCTGCAGACGCTGAAAATAACAGTCTTACTCACTATGGTAAACATTCACCTTTCATATTCGATTTAGGATGCAAGTGACCTGCTGTTGCTTTTCTCTGTTAAAACTTTACTTAGACATAAAGATTTCTCCAACAGAACACACTATTATCTTTGGCCTCATTTTTATTCAAGATTTTCCATTTTCACTGTGCACTTAATTCTTCCAAATTAAGTAAAATACTTTATAACTTTGTAGGGACAAAATTAAATATGGAGGTTGAATTTAGTTTTTCCAGCTAACAAATAAATGCACAAACTGTGTCGTATTTCAAAATATGAGGTATAGCATTCTGAATCTGGTCAAGATCTTCTCAGGAAGAACAAGTTAACGTTCAAAAGTAAAACAGAGGCCTTTGAGAATAAAGAGGTATAAGGCCTTCTGCTTTCTAGAGCTTTCCAATATTTGTATGAGACTTAAATAACAGGTTTCAGGATCATATGCTTTCACTATTTTCCATGCATTAAATCCAAGACCTCTATTACCAGTTAGCTGTAGTTACTGTGGCAAAGTGCAAAACTTTTCGTTACCCTTGTCAGGCTAGTTGGGATTTCTGTACTCATTAACTACATTACACTCTGAAGTTACGTTAGCTAATTGCAACATTGATCTCTCTCAATGGCATTTCTGTTCACAGGTGAATCTGACTTTATAATCCAGGGAAACAGGCAACTGACCTCATGTCTTCCAGTATTTTTGACTAAAAGAAACTGAAGAACAACTGCCACAGAATTGAATTTTTAAAGCATGTCCTTTTGTACAGGAATGTTCCCATGCACTGAGATACTACCTGCTTCTTCAGTTGTTACTTTATCTGTTGATTCTTATGAAAGAGAGGTCAGAAAGGGGGGGGAAAAAAAAAGTGCAGCTGAAGTTACCACAGTCCCTTCAACAACTAGGAAATCCTAAAGCTTGGTAAGGTATCAAAAGAGGACATGTGCTACCTGAGAACGTTGAAAAGTGCCTGCAAAGTGAAAGAACAGACTTTTTACAGTCCCTTCTCTTCCTAATCACTCTCTCTATGCTCAGAAATAGCCAGGGTTACGTTTGGCCTTCCCTGAATCTTGCTGGAAGACTTGGATTTACCACTATCCTAATACTTTGTCTAAAGGAACTTCCACTATAAATCAAAGTGCAGCGTTTAACCAACGAATAACAAGCTTGTGTTTAGCTATTCATATTTCAGCTAGAAATCAAAGTTATTTAAACTATTTGAAGGAATTAATCCTTCAACAATAGGTGAATTTAAATCAAAACCAAAAACTATTACAAACAAAATAGAATTTAATTTAGCCAGGTCAGTTCTAAATTGCATGAGTTCTTAACTTAGAGAAAGCTGTGGAAAGGAAAGAGTCAGGCTAACACACACATGACTGCAGTGAAAAAGGGAGAGTGAGACGGAGGAAGGAAGAAATGTCGATTCTTTGACAAAGGCATCTCTCAAAAATTCTTAAATATTAAGTAGTGGGGGAAAAGCAAAACACACTGCTTACGAATCCTGAATAAAAACTACCACCTTCTGAATCAGATTTTACTTCTTTTTTCATTTCTGTAAGCTACTTCCCTCTCCCTACCTCGTGCTGATAAAGTTCTGCAAGAAAAATGCATTTGCTGGCTGCTGTTTTAAAGTGACTTACTAAAGAAATGAGCAGATACTTCTTTGAAGCTTACGTAATGTGTATGAAAGTCAGGACCATCAAGCCTGCTATTTTCCTTTGCAAGACGCTTCTGAGCGTATCAGATAGTTGTACAAAGTACTACTCACCCTCAGAGCAGCATTCTCCCTCTAATTCCTGTGTCACCTCACATTTCAAAGAGATTTGTTTATTGCTACATTTTAGGTTTTAATAAGCCTCCTGGACTCATGTAAGGATTAAATGAATCCAAAGACAGACCATCTCCCACTCAGATCCAACTGCTGACCAGAAGGTCAACGACTCAGTTCCGTGGAGCAGCAATGGCCAGAAGCGATTATCTTAATGTCAGCCACATCCAGGTGCTTATTTTCAGTTTGATCAGTGTGACTTCTGAAGAATAAGACAGCGTATATACTTATCAAAAGTTCAGTGAGGCTCAACTACAACACAATCAACTACCTTTGCTGAACTGCTGAAAAGTTGCTGATTTTATGCAACTACAGCTTGTTTTCAGTTATGAGCTTTCAAAATAAAAAAGTCTACGGCAACAGAAACTGTACCTCTTCGCAAAAAAGACATTATTTTGAAATTTTCCTAACGTTATTTTGAAATTTTCTCTAGCATCTACACTTCATGTCTATCCCTCAGATTGCAATGACAGGTAACGTCTAAGCTAATGAGCTGCCTGGGCCGAGTTCACAATCAGAAGGAAACTGCGTTATATTGTGAGGTTTTTTGCTGAATGAAACTTTAACCACTTAAAAACGTGGCCTTATTAATTCCATTACTAATCCTATATGTCAAACTAAGAGAAAGCGAGTCTAATATTGCTGGACCTGTCATATTTTAACATTCTATTAATCTGAATTGACATTACCTAGGAATGTTTCAAGATTTGAACCTATGAAGTGAAATATTATTTAGTGAAATAATATTCATACAGTCGAGCCTTTGTCACCATTAGTTATGAAAAGTTGGTGTAAAATACAAAGCTTGCAGGACCAGTAGCCCTGAATTATACTGCAATGAAACTGGTAGAATCATGCAAGGTGTTCTCAGATATCCCAAATGCATGCAGTAGGTACTAGCTGGTGTATATAAGCCTTAAACCTTTACCTTAAATCAGTAAATGCAATTTAATAAACTAATAAATAACTTCAAAGGCTTTCAAAGTAGCAGGACAATTATCACCAGCTTAAATCCTTAACTTTCCGCATCCTTTGACACTTTGTTTTACCATATGGTAGGTTTTGCAACAGATTAAATATTTGTTAAGCTTTTCCATGTATAAATGCTTATTATATGCCAAAGCTTTACACAGTTTAAAGAGAAAAAGAATAGTAACATTAAAAAATAGCTAATATTAGTTAAAAACACTGAGAACTCCCATCAGTGTAATATTAACTTATTAAAAAAACTACTCCATTTAAGTTTCCATTCCTGTTTTCTGATTACACAGAACATCTGAAAAACGTCATTCTAGTTTGATTCCCAGTACTTCTATACTTGGTATCTATCCTACCAATTAAACAAAACTTGTAATGTCAACGCTTTGCTCCTCCTAACTATATCTGCTTTATTACACGGAAAATCTATTTCTGAAACCAAAAGACATCAGTTGTGGCCAAGCTGACAAACATTAAACTGGCAAAAGATGATGAATGGACAGAACAGAAATTTCAAGACTGAACACTTTAAATAGAACTTTTCTTCCAAAATAGCAAAGGTTATTTAGTATAGTTAAGTACCTTTGTAGAGGCACCAAAAACAAGTAGCCCTTTCAAACTGAACTTCCAAAAAAAATTTAATTTTCATTTCAAAAGGGATCTGGAAATTACTAGATACACATATATCCCTGTCCCACTGCCTTGTAACATACATTCAGTAATTTAAAATAAAGATTCAATATTTTATAAATTTTGTATATATATTATATATTTAATATATAATATATATTTATATGTAAAATACACAGATACATACACTCTCAGTCAGCAGGATTAACCGGTTTTAAACGTTTGATTGGTACCACTAATCTACCTCAGTTACTTTGTGAATTCAATGGAATTTATCTATTATCTGAAAAGAAGAAATTTAAAAGACCCAAATGGAATCCACGGATCAATATTAGCACCAACACACATGGCCAGTACGTCAAAATGACTGCAGAGACTGCAATAATATATATTTTTATAACATCTCTCCCACTGCACAAACGTTCCTGCATATATGTAGGCAGCAATACCTGCCAGGTCTACACATCTATTCCTATGCTAAATTTAAATGTTATATAAACTTTCTTTACTGTAATATACAGTATCTCTCCTGTCCTGTTGGATTATTTCATTTTCCATGGCGAAAAGTGATCAATAGCTATCCAACAGAAGTTTTTCTTTTAACCCCTCTCCCCTTCCCCCTTTACTGCATGGCTCAGTTTCAAGATTTTACTTTGTAGGCAGCCACCCTAGGCATAACCAGTACCCTAGTAACATGATTCAGTCACGGGCTCTGATTCTTCAGCTACAAAGTTCTGTGGGTGGCTCACTGCTTATGGAAACCAAGATACTCAAAGGTGTTATCTTTTCAACATGCCCACCAATACCTGCCACACGATAGTGTTAGTCAGTCCCAAAACCATAATTCAACGTTACCTACCATTTGGGTAACAAAAGTAACAAACCCAGTTCTGATTTTAAACGTCATAAGAATATTCACCCTGAGAACGCAGAGGAAGTGTTTAAGAATAAATTCTGATATGTCTTCTCTTCACACACAGTTTTCTTTTTTCTTCATCTCCTCTTGGGTATCTGGGTTTGTATCCAGAATTTGACCTCATACTTGCTTTGCTAGCTGCTCAGCTCATGCCACAGTCAGGTACTGATGATAGAAAAGCCCAAAAAGGCTCGTGGAAAAGAGGCAAGCAGCAATCCACCAGGTGAGGAAAGACAGGAGTCCCCGGAACAGGAGAGGAGTGAAAATATTCTTTAGGCTTCCCAAAGCCATTGTTATTTGTACTACAGTTACTTTCATCTTTCCATCAGCAGATGGAGACTCAGAATAAACTGAACTGGGAAGTGGACTGTTTTCTACTGGAGTGTCAGAATTAGCTTCTGAATGGATGCCCCAAGAATAATTACCTGTTAAAAAACAGAGTAACAGATAGAAGAGTTGTAGAATTAAGTTCTGCCATTTCTGTCAACTCCATAGATCATCTTATATATATTATTTCCATATATAAAAATTGGAAAATTTTACTTATAACTTAGTACATACTAACTGTATCCATCCACATGGCTTCCTGCTAATACTAGTAAGCCATTAGGGTAGGATTCACCTTACTTTTTGACATCCTGACATTTCCATGTGAGCCAGCTGCCTTGGGACCCCTGTCAGTGCTGGGTGTGATTCATCTTACCAGATGTATAAGTCTACTTGAGGATGGAATGAATCACAGTCTAATATTGCCTATTTCTTTCTGTTGACATTTGGCAAAATGAATGCCACCACTGCATGGTAGACTGTGAAAGACATCCCTCACAAGAAACAGGAGAAAAAACCCAGAGTGACAGCAGGTCTCCCAATAATGAAATAAATTCCACATCTTATAGCTTGTGTTCAAAAAGTTCAAGGAAGACTGAAAATTGAAAAAAGAATTAACAGATATTCATAAGGTTAAAACAACAACGCTTTATACAGCTCATTTTTAAAGTAGATTCATTCAAGCAGATGAATATTTCAATGAAGGTAAACAGCTTAATTTGTATTAAAAAAACTTATCAGAAATATATCAAATTAGCATATCGTTGAAAGATGTTAAAAACAGCAATAGCAATAGATAACCACAGCTTAAAAGCTGTTTATCAGTTAGCTTTAAATGGCAGGAAACAAAAGTATTTCTCTGTTACGAGTACCCATACCTTCTAATTCTCTTTAGTAGAGTGAAGATATGAAAGCCCAAAACACATTTTTGTTCATCAAATTTTGCCTACCTAGTGTTTTCAATAGTAGAGTTGTGTGAAGGAGCATTACCAATGGTGCAACATATTGCAGTGCAATAACACAAAGATAATAGAAAACTCGAGCCACCTGGAAAAACAGAAAAGAGTAACTCATCGGGTCTGGGCAATCAAAGCAAACCTTTATGCATGTGTTTAGGAAAAAACAAGTAATTATTAAAAAAATATTCCTATGCAAAAAATTTTATACATATATACACACACACATATATATATATTCAAAAGGCCTAATAAAGAACTTATCCCTAAAATGAATTCTAGTTGCAGGACACAAAATCCTAAGAGGAAATACTGAAAGAAAATAATTGCAAATATCAGTTCTGCTAAACAAGATTAATTTTTCTTATGCTAATTGAAAATTATCATGCAAAGCTTCATATTTCAATACACTAGAATTTTGCTAAGCCACCTCAAAGCCAAATATATGGTTAATTTTTAGAGTCCCAAATGAGCCACAAACTAAATCCCATTTCAAAAATGAAGTCGTAGTCGCAGTCCAAAGCCTCATCAGAAGTAAATCAAATTTTGGTTAATATTCCAATCCCTTTTCAAAGTGAGGTTTTTCGCAAGATTTCCAAACGTGAAATACTTTAAAAATAAAGACAAAAGGACTTTTCATTAGTAGTTGATCAATAACAAAGCATTTAAATGGTCTTTATTTCAGATATACATTATGGTTCATTGAAATTCACTCAGATTTATCCCTCCTCCTGTTCCCAATCTGTTCCATCTTTCTCAAGACTGCTACATTACATATATTATATAAGCTGTTGACCTAAAAGACTAGATCAAATAAAGAAGGAAAAAAGTCATAAAATCAATAGCAAGCAAGCAATGAAATAAAGTTAACTGGATTTTGGAAAAGAACAGAATACAGGGTGGCAAAAAAGATGAAGGCAGACATGACATTTTTGGAAATAGCTTTAAAACCTCAAAGGGCTTTGAGACGAGCAAGCATCAAAAACTAACATGAGAAAAAAAAAGCAGTAAAACATTGACAGAAGAAAAAGCATGAAACAAAAATATTTTTATCATATGCCATAAATTATTTTACGAGAGCAAATAGGAAAGTAACGACCAGCAGAGTAAGACAGATGGGAAGGACTTCACTGGCAAAAGCGCCAGAAGAAAAGAAAGGGGACACGGGCCAGTAGAACAAGATAGGGCTTTATTTTGTGGCATTGGGCTTCTTACTGATTAAACAGATTTAGGAAGCTCCACATAGAGAAGACATTCCTGTTTTATAGATAACATGAAATCTCCCCAAACTAAACTATGCATTCACAACAATTACAACACTTCTGTCATAGGCAGTTGTTGCTAGCTGTATTTCCTAACCTTTTTTTTTTTTTTTTTTTTTTTTGAAGCCCAGCGCTAGTCACCTTGTTTGTAACTAAATTTTTGCAATAACTACTGCACAGTTCATTTATAACCTTAAGATATTTGCGGAGACAAAGACAAGATTACAAAGAGTAGGGACAACCTAAAAACAGAGAAGCAGCTTTGTCCTATGACATACTTCAATATTTCTTCAGGAACATACCCTGACTCAGCCAGATTAAAGATTATCAGATACCATTATCATGAGAGACTAGAAATGTAAGTTTATTCTGCAGGCAACACACAAACAGCACTTTATTATTATTTTATGGCAAGCTTAAAAAATTCTACCTACTCAGTTTGTTGATTAAAAAAAAAAAAAAAAAAAAAAAGAAAGCAACAAAAAACACAACTCCAATCAATCTTTACTTTTTACTACTTGCCTCAGTAACAAGATGGGCAGACAGTTTTGTATCTAGTCTAGTGCATTTGAGAGCAGTCTTACAGAACTAGATATGCCGCATTTTATCCCAAAATGCAACCATCCTATCTTAAACTTTGCCCCAATTTAAAAAATCACAGCTAGGATTAGGTAAACAGTATTTTGTCATTCCATCGAAACCTGACTTTTTCCATGCTATAACTACAAATCACCACTAAACCCCTACACACTCACCAGGTTCTATTTATGCTTAACAGAAACAATCATCAAGATAAGCACAAGGCCAAAATATTTGTAAAGAATATTTCATGAAGGGATCTCTTAGAACAGCAAGGAATGAACAACTTAAGACAAAGCATCTGTATAATACAAATGATACATCTCTGCATATTTTGGTTTCCGGAATTTCTCAGTAACAGTGCCATTTTTATAAGGAATATCGTTTAGGAAGCTTCACTCAGATTTCAGTTCTGCTGCCACAAAGACACAACAAACCAGCTGTTTTATGTTTTCCTATTTTAAAAAATTGCACAGACTGAGCACTGCAAATGCATATAACCTTAATGCCATTATACTTACCATTTTCTGTAAATCAACTGTACTTATTCTGCCAGCTTCCTTTTTCATCTGATCCACACATTTCTGTGCTAAATTCAGGTAGGCCTGGAGATGACTGCGCATCATAGCCAACCGTAAAGCACACAACAGGATTATAATCCACAATCGCATGGTGTCAAATGTATCTTCTGACATTCTGTGGATAAAAGAAAGGTAATGCTGTTTTCCAAAGGTCACCTACCACTAGAGAGTTATTTGTTTCTATTATCTGTAAAGAAATCTTACAGCATAATGTCAAAAATACTTAACATACAATTCACAGTTATGAGTTCATGTGCAAGTAATATTCACTTTTCCTCCTCTCTCTCTTTATTGGTACCTCTTGGTAGCCTTGTTTTAGCATTAGATCCAAATTAGTATCTATTTGTATGCAAACAAGAATACTCCCAAACATTTGAATTCGGAGTAATGAAGACAGAACACTAAAAAACAAGCTCTTTCAAGTAATTCAAGTTTTGAGATACACTTGTAGATACTCAACATATACTTCAGCTACCTTACATACATTGCTATAGCACAACTCTCATTTCAAGAAAAGCTGAAGAATAAAATGGAAACACAAAAATTGTATGTTTTCAACGTTTTACATAATAGCTCAGTGGTCAGAGAGTTATCTTAGAATCATCTTTTAAACCCCGAAAGCAATAAAAGGGACAACCAATCACATTAGTTTCAAGGCAGTAGTCTTACTATTTTGAATTGAATTATCTATATTAATAAAGTGACAGTGACAACCACCTATGCTACTTATACAATATTCATTTCAGTTACCATTCTTCCTGAAAATTCTTTCCCTTTCATGCTTTTAAATATTTTAGCTATCAAATTTCATATGCATTTCATCTACACATAGATCTTAAGACAAATCTCATGGTACTAAGACCCTTAGGTCAGTTCTCATACCAATGTATCTCAATTGTCTTCAGTGAAATGACTTTTCCCTTACACCTCTAAGAAAGATGTAAGGTATTATATGCTGGCAGTAAAGCAGCATTCTGCCCCTAGCAAGAACTGCATAGAACTCCACCAAGGAGTTCACCAGAAGATAGCAGCTCTTCAGGAACCACTGCTTTACCTTTCTTAATCAGGTTGAATACTCTGTCACTAATTCTTATTCTTCCTTAATTACAGAGGCCCTTTACAGGTCAGCTGGAACATCTTTACAGTACCTTTCGAGATGGATACTAGTCACACCAACAATTTTAAGTCTTTCGCGTTGTCATAACTTTTGCAGAATACTACTTACACTCATGGTTTTATCCTAAATACCCTAGAAAGAATTTTTAAAGGGAACCTTACAAAGGAACGCTCTCTTTGCCCAAAGGTGGGTTCATAATGTAGTCCTTAGTGATTGGTTTTACCCACAGCAGAACCATAAGTAAAGGTGCCAAGAAGTTTATATGTAGCAACGTTCTGAAAGAAGAGAAAAAAAAAAAAAGGGTAGGGAACGAGGTGTTATTAAACACAGAAAATTACCATTCTGTTGAAACTGGTAGTACAGATTCAAAAGGAGTCATCCAATTTTAAAATACTAGGGAAAAGTAAATAAGAAAATTACTCTCCTATTTCTATAAGTATGACTTAAGTCTCAACAAAACAGGAATATAACATACTATGAAGTCACACTGGCTGTGGTTAAAAAAAAGCGCGCTTAGGAATAAATCAAGTTTTTAGATATTCCAACAAACTAACTAAACGAACTACATGCATTATACCACACTAGAGTCACTTGTTGAAAATTTGCGTATGATGGCATAACACAGAATCGCAGTAGCCATTAAAATTTTAATCTAGAGGGTCAGTATCTCAAATGGATAATTGTGAAATATATGCTGCTATATTAGTGAAAGTTTTTTGGCTTAATTAAAAACATAATCAAATTAATTTCTACTATGTATATGGACCAGGGGAAATACTTCTCACGGGTCAGATTTTCCAGTTTAATGCAGATTTTTAGGTAGGAACCTTGACTAAACGTAACTTGCATCCATTTGAAGATACTCTGACAAAAAAAAAAAAAAGAGCGAGAGAGGAAAAAAAAAGAAATCTACTCCATTTCAAACACGCTGAACTCCCTATATATTAAACTATACAGTTAATGTAGAAGAAGCTCTCTGAGTACAAAACAGACGTTAGCATTTAAAAAAGGAAATAGTTTTCTGTAGTTTTTCTTGAAATTAACATCCTTCATCTGAACCCCTATCATCCGAACCCCAAATCCCTGCCATTTTTCATTACTCAAATGAAATGAAAACACAGTTGAAGACTTCAGTGCTGTAGATCTGGTGTTGTGCTAGTAGCACTTCCTCACTAACAGTTTCAGTTTGTCTATATTTCCATCTCCAACGAGACTCCTTCTACACTATAGAGAAAATAATGAAGTAATCAAATTATTCTAAAAACACAAGCCCTTACTGATTCAAACTATCAAGCTTCCTAAACCCGTTAAAACGTTTGCATGTTTCAGAAGATGTCACCACACAGTTTAAATCATTGGTTTCATATGAAGAGAAAAGCACTGCTAGTTACGTAGTGTTGCTAGGGAACACCACAGCACCAAGGAACAGTCCAAAGCATTTCAATAACTTGCGAAAGGATTTTACCTGAGCTTCCACTTTATTTAAGACCTCCTGCCAGGCTAATGGACTGGAATGTGCCAAAGGGTGGCAAGAATCACTCGCTGTTTATTTGACTTGAGGGAGAAAGACTGAAAGACTCTTGAAGCAGGCTCAGAAAAAAAAAGAGTGAATGGGTAGGGAAGTGGGACGAATGGATTAAGAGAACTCCAAAGTACATCCAGGGGAGAAAGCTGCTGCTAAAGAAAAATCAAACAGGCTACTGGAATTAACAGTGACACCAGGTTATTTTTATTTTACTGTGCACAAAAACTTATTCCATGTTTATAGAAGTAAGGATCACTGTTATCATTTTGGCCAAATTACTGAAGTGGAATTTTATCATCTACCTAACCTCCAATTTTTTAGTCATTGCTCCCATAACTTAAGTCTCCCTTTCTGTAATTATAGCTTGTGCCTTATACTCTTTACAAATGTATGACCTTGTATTTGACTGCAGGGAAAGGCATTGTTTTCCTGCACCCAAATTAGAGAGCTTTGTATCAGTGACATGTCATCCTCATTTACTACTCCCCTTTAGTCACTGTCAAACTACTGCAAACAGTCAATAATGATCTACTCATTGATAAAAACACATCACTTAGGGCAAATACTGATCTCTTCAGAGCCCATTAGAAACAATCGCTCAGCAATGATTCTTTGTTTATAATTGCATTACCTAATTACATTGATATCTAACCAAGTTTTAATCCATTTAATGTCATTTTTATATTGTTCCATTCGAACAGGCGAAGTATTGGTAGACTTTCAAAAAAACTTGCTTGGTGCTGCACAATATTATCTTTAATAACAAGCTCCAATTTTCCCTAAACATTAAGTTGGATAAGATTTATTTTGTTCATAAACGCAGACTAGTGGATATTAATTACTCTTAGTTCTTGATTAATCAGGTCTTTTTTTAGACAGTTTATATTTCTATCTAGGATCCAATGATCAAAAAAGATGTTGGAAAATTCAAGGATAGTTACAGAAAAGGCGCAAGAACTTTCAAAATATTGAAAATCATAAAAATGAAAAGCTCAGGAGTTTAATTTATTTAGCTGAAAGAAGAAAAGACTAAAGAGGTGACTTGATCACATTCTACAGATAGATAGAAACTTAAGAGCAGATATAACAAAAGCCAACAGCTTGCAGCAGTAACTGGATGCATTCAACTACAATGCAATTCTAATACAGAGTAATTAATTAACATTCTACCATGAGTGAAGGATCAATTCTGAACATAGATTAATTTTTAAACTGGGTGTTTGGGGGTGAGTGGGAATTACACGCGTATATTTGTACACATACACGCGTCAGTCTGAGTAGAAATAATTGGACATGAAACAAAAATTCACATCAGAAAGTCTAATGGGTTTCTTATGGAAGTGACTACACTAAATGATCACAATGGCCTATGCTGCAGAATCTGTCATTTACACGTACTAAACATTTAGAGGTTGGGATCTATGAACGACATTTGGAGCTGTTCCCTCAATCAGAAAATGCTGAAGAGAAAGAGTTACATATAAGAAAACATTTTGTTTCCAACCTCAAGAACAGCTGAGAACAAAAATGTTCCTTTAAGCTGGTGTAAACTTCTGACCCTTATTATACATTCTGGGTCATAATAATGCAAGATATACAGAAATACTGAAAAGGACAACTTTAATTTGCCTTTCATTTTAAAGACAGAAGTTTTAACAGTTGAACTCCCTTCTATATGCTACTCTAATTTCAACATTTATTAACAAAAGTTTTTACTGAGTTTTAGATTCCCTTTAAACGCGTTTCCAGTTTACTGCCTTTCTGAAGCTATTTCTCCCTTTCAGTTTTTTCTTTGGATCTTACTCTAAACTCATGAACAACGGCAAGATGCTCATCTAGAAGAACAACAGAAAAAAAAGTTGTGGCTGCATCTCCTCTTCCACACAGCTATTTGAATTTCCAAAAAGATATAATGGGAAAAAGGAAGCAGAAACACTCATACTGTAGCAGAAACGGTCATGTTGGAGGAAAGGAAAGGAATGTTCCTTTAACCGGTACTCTAGTTAAGAGAGACAACGAACGTAATAGACTGGCAGAGGGCAGGTTGAGCAGAAAGAGGCAGGTGGCAAGTTTGCTGGATATATGAAAAGCAGGCAGCAACACAAGTCTTAGTCACTACCTTCTTACTGGAATAGTTTGCTTTGTTTATTTTCAGACATTAAACAGAAGTTTAAGACTGGGTAGCATATACCTATGTGTATATATTTTCTCTTACTGTGTTATTTTTTCTGTTGCTAAATTCAGAGCATCCAGATGCATTTGAGCCAGTCGCAAGCCAGGGAATGTCAAAAAAGCACCAATAAGTGAACACAGAACAGCCAGGAACAATTTGAAGGTTAGTTTAGACACAGGACCCCTAAAAGAAAAGAAAGGAAATAAGCATTTTCTGAGGGGAGGGGGGCAGTTGGGGTGGGCAAATCAGAGACTACTTTCAACTTTATCATCATCTAACATTTAATCAAAAAGCAAACAGTATTCTATGGTTTTACTCTAGAACACCAGCATTATTATAACCATTTCAGGAAATTTAAATAAAAAACAAGCAAGTCACCTATTTATTTATTAAAAAGAACAGAAAGCTCTTCAGTGTAGGAAGACAAAAATCTAAACTAATTCCCACAAAATGTTAAATTTGTTAGTAGAGCAAAAAATGAAAAATTTAATATTGTAATTGACAATGAGTTATTTAATAAAACCAGCTGGTAGAATGAATTTAGTTATGATACTTTTAATAGAAGAACAGATACATGGCAAATCTTAACTGTTCAAAGATAAAAATGGATTTTTTACTTCTTGCATTCAACATTTACCCATCAAACAGCTCTATCAAACTGTTATTAATCCAGTTATCCATAGATTTATCGATAACATAGATGTGGCTAATTAACATGTCTCTTCCAAGCAACTAATACTGGTCGTTTTAATGAACTATCTACCCAGTACCTAATAGAATTGGGAAGGGGAAAAAAAAAAAAAAAAAAATCAGGATCAACTGAATTACTGTATTAATAACCATAATTATACAAAAGACAAAAGCAACAAAGAAACAGATCAAAGAGGAGCAAAACGAAGTCTAGCGACCCACACGAGTTTCAGATTCTTTCTTAACCTATGTCATTCAAACTAACAAGAGACGACATTATGAACTCAATCACTGCTATAAACAGCCACAGCACTGCAAAAGTTTAAGAGAAAGAAAACGGATACTAACAGGAAAATTAGTACGTAAGTTAGTAAATTCTGAGTAGTTTAGGAAAAAACAGAGCAAAGAAAGGTTAAGAAACACATGGGATTCAGTTGAAGGGCTTCTTTCTCACTAGATTAAATATCCACATCTATAAATGACAGACTATTCTAAGTATATATATTTGAATATATACTCTGTTCCTCACAAGTTAAAAAAAAAAAATCATAATTCTTACATAATACTTGAGAACTTCCAAAAAAGAAATTTAAAATTGTATGCCTGCAGTGATGGCATACCCCATACAAGCATTTTAGAGCACGTGTGTAAGGCAAAACCTGTAACGACGTCAGTTTCACAACAGACAAAAGCTGTCTATAAGAGTGATTGCATATAGAAGTAACACTGCAAGCTATGGAGCACTCCTTCGTCAGTCTCTGCAAAACTTGGATGTATTGTAGCAAGCAGATGTATTTGCTTAAGAGGAAAATACTATTACAACCTGAAAATATGACTGAAAGTCAAAATTTACGCCTAATTTGAATTTTATCACAGGCTTTTGCCCTCTCATGCTTTTGTATACCACAGAAACCGGGGAGAAAAAAAAAAAGTATATCCTGATTTAAGCAATCTTTTCAAAGAAGAAGGAACTGTTTAAGAATTACAATGAGCAAGAGGTTCATAATTTTGAACTAAACTTCATGGCCTGCAACCAAACTGTTAGGATAGAAATTGTATCAGAATTAAAAAGAGAAAACACATATGGAACTTAAGTTATTTGCAAATACTGATGGATGACTTTCATTAATCCACACCTTCACATTAATACAGGAGTACAAGCATATACAAAAACAATGTATGCAACACAAATGCTTGCTAAGAAAATGCAAGTGGTTCAGTTATTAATGCAACATAATGAAGACCAATGTATTTCCAGAAACTTACTGGGATTCCAGACCCTGCTTTTCAAGAAACTGCATAGCGCTTTCCGAAAAATTTGAGAATCCTGCAGAGACACATATATTATATGTATTTTATCACAGTAGAAACACAGAACCTCTTTTTTGAAATAAAATGCTAGGTAACAGAACATCTTTAAAACAAATTTTCGTATGTCTGCCATAGCTCTTTCATGTGCTAATTAGCATGCCACAATGCAATAAAACTTGGTTATTAACATGAGCAGTCTTTGAAAACATCTCTTTGATATTTGTACATTTCATGAACGTGAATAAAATTTACATTAATTTAAGAACATAAGTAATTTTTTTCTGTAGAGGAGCTTCACTTTACTATGCAAAGTAAAATGGGTTAAAAATAAAACTGGAAGGCAAATATAATTAACAAAATAAGCAATCTAGGCAAAGACTACACTACGTAAAATAAAGCAGGGAAAAAATACAGGATATCCTTCAGAATCCATACTCCAAAACAAGATTTCCTAAAAATGTATCACAGAAGAGTTTTAATGCCGATATTCTCAAAAAAATACTTAAAGGCTTAAAATTAAATGTTCAGGTCATATAATCAATAGGGCTATTGCAAACACTGAAGAAAGTTATTACCTGATTCCAGTCCAAATTCTAGATAATTTTCTGTTACAATCAGGATTGCCATTGCTTTCACAAAGAAGAAAAAGCCAAAGGTGACGCACACTGATCTTTCACCTCCATCCTCTACTTTGAAATAATGGGTGGTCAATGAAAACAGTATCTTACTATACAAGAAAAAGGTCAAGGAAAATAGAGTTTGTAAAATAACTATATTGAAGAATTGTAACACTGGATTTTGGTCATCTATAGTAAGATTGTTCTTCTAAGAAGCACAAAAATTAAAAAAGTAATATGTTAGGCCAATTTGAGATTAATTATGCTTTACAGTATTGGGAAAGTTTAATAAGCACAGACACACAGTCACATAACAGGTAGCTAGGAATACACTGTTCTGGAATATACTTTTGTTTTGATTTAGGCTTACTGATAGCCAAACACGACAATATTCACTATCAATCAGGGAAAATTAAACCAGTTCTGTCATGATTATAGTAATTTACAGAAGTTAAACCAAAACAAGTGTATCTTCAATATAAAGTATCAAAAGCTAAATGAAGAATGTTCCATTAAACTACACAACTCAAGATTCCATGTATTGTCATTCCAAAACCCAAAACATTACTTCTGAAGATAGCAACAGTGAACACAGGGAAGAGAAAACACACTTTTTTTTTTTTTTTTTTTAAAAACTACAGCGGAGCTATACATGTTCTGCCAGAAGGGACAACCCCAAGTAGATGCATTCAAGATTCTGCACTACAGAAATTCAGAGTTCAAACCCAAATATATAGCATCATTCAATTCACTGCAGGTTTGTTGCTGAAGTCACCTGGGTCAAAACATTGCTTCCGTGCTGAGTTAACTGCACACGGATGTGTGTTTGGGCACACGCATCCATCCTCACACAAAATACATGTATATAATAAAACTAGCTTTTTGTTTCTTTCAGGAGAAAAGGGTAGAAAGGTGTTCCTCATCACACACATCCCAATACCTTTTTACTGAAAAAAATCCAGACATCGAATTTTGTCTTCCCTCCTCGAGTAAAGGCTAGACATTTTACTAAAGGCTAGACGTTTTACGGAGGTAAGGTGAGGATAGACAGCTTGTTTGTTGGTAAACTAAGGGCAACAAAAAGAAAAAAAAACACACACAAGCAGTATTTTACACAAAAGCTTTTCTCTCAAACATCTGCTGAGCTTTCTTAAGTGATTAAAGCTTCTGAGTCATCACATAAAATCTGTATCCTTTCAGTTAGATTTCCTTTTCTTAATCTTCAGAACACAATGATTACTAGAAGCAGCAAAACCTTAACTCCATGTAAGAACAGAAAAACTGTACCTTTTGTTTTTAATAAACAGCAGGAAAGACAAAATATATTTTTTTTGTTTTAGAAACACTGAAAGATTTTCTCAGACACTTGCAAATATTCAAACAACAGATAGAGTAAGCTTGTGCTGTGTTTGGGGAGGCAGGGCAGGAGACACCAGGTGTACAGAGAACAGGATGCCTAACAGACACTGTATCAATGATAGGATAAAACTTGTTAAATACAAAAACTTCTCCTCACAGGGACTGTAGACCTGCCTTATAAATAAACAGTGAACAGTGGCATGGAACTGATGCTTAAGATTATTACGTGACTATTTCCTAAGCAGAAAATGCATGAAAAGATGAAACTTGTGTTTCTCTACTTTCATGTGCATGTGTTCCAGGTTTTTCAACTATTAAAACTAATCAGTCAACTAACAGCATATTTAGTATTATCTAGCAAATACAATCTATCCCTTTCCCATTTTGAAAAAAGGAGACCATATACTCTGGTATGATATCTAAGTCCTTTCATGCAACCCCACTGCCACAAATATGAACATCTAAGAGGTTGCCTGCTCTGCTATCAAGCTGTTTAAAATACGTTCATTGAATATTCTCATTTTTAATGCATTTCTAAACATAATTAGCACCAAAACTATATAGTAGATTAATATAAATTTTTCATAATATACTGTCAACTCTTATTAATAAAAGCTGTAGCCCATTATAATTGATTCTTTTCAAATGGCAAGCGATATCAAGTTCATAGTTAAATAAAGTACTTGGAGATCACTCCAGACATTACCTGCTTTGAAAAACCAAAAAAAAAGAGAGGAAAAAAAAAAAGATTAAGTGTAAACTGTACACATTTTTCCACTACACCGTAACAAAGTAATTTCTATTTGTACTTTTTTTAAATACTGGAAGTGTATTTTAGGATTTGGACTATGTGGAAATCCGTTTTAGGGAATCTATTCAATAAAAGATTTCAACTGTCATCAGTTAATCTCTCATGAAAGCATATGATTATGCCATACTGCACTTCATTAAGCAGCACATATTTAATATATGCATTGCTGTATTTCATCTATATGCAGAGAAGTATTCAAGTATGCACATTAGAGAGGCCTAACTACAGCATCTAACCTGACTCTTAACTTCACAGTAATCAGCTTAAGCTCCCTGTATAGTTAACAGAAAGAACAGGCCTCTCTAAAGGAGTACTTACCTCACCCTAAAAACAGGCACATTCTAGGTCATAGAGGCTGTGTTCTGATAAGGTCCGTTTCTCTGCACTGACCATTAGAAGAACGTTAAGACGATTTTTAAACACCTGAGCAAGATAATTCCTATCCTTCTAAATAATTTTCTCAAAATGTAACCTTAAGATATTTCACCAAAAATAATACATTCTTAGACCAAGTATCCTTACACAGTTAGGGATAATGAACACAAAACAATAAGATATTAAAGTCAAATCTTGAAGTTACGCAAAGTATTTCATAACTGTGACCAACAGTGCTACAGATTTTCAACCCCCTAGATACTTATATTTTCAACTATGAACTGCGCCTAAGGGTCTGAAAAAAGCAACTGGAAAAAAGAAAGCACATTGATAAATTCCAATTACAAAGCAGGTTCAGATAACTCTGCATAAATTAAGGATTATGCAAACCAGGTAACAGAGGGTTCCAGTCACATGTGAATAATCACCATCACTACTATTTCAGGGGTGGAGAAAAATCAAAGCATTGTGTCAAGGAAATTCGAGTTCCCTTCATGACTCCCTTTCAATGCTTGACCTACCTTTCAGGATCTACTGAAGAAACAAGCCATGAGTGCTATGTTACTAAGTTTTTTTTCCTTTTTACTTTATTTCACAAAAGGCGGTAAACTTGTAGAATTTATAGCATACACTTACTAGAAATAATTCTATCCTTAAGCTACTATAATTTTAGAATTTTTGAATCATTTTCTATACAGTCCAACAGTATTTATGCACACGGTTAAAAAGATCCACTTGCATTTCCAGTAAAATAGTCAGAACTTTCAGATTCACAATAGAAAAATCAAAGTCTTCTATATTATTTCTAATTGTAAGTATGTAGAAAAAAAATATATCCAGTTTAAGGCTTCCAGAAGTTATATCAAGGTCTGATGATAACTTTCCCTAGATCAACTTTCAACTAAGTTGAAGAAAGCCTATTGCTTTCCTTTGCTATCCCATTGATATAACTACATGCAAAGACATTTTTCAAAAGTAGCCAGTAAAGTTTCCTAATCTTCCCATCAGGTAACTCAAATGATCATCTTTTCAGATGACAGACAGCCTCACAACTAAGAAATACATTACTTTTCCTTCATCACAATAATTTTCCTAATTACCTTGCCTTTGCAACAGAAAGGATTGGATATAACACTTTACAACAGATAAAAAAAATTAAATAAGATCACGTTTGTGTGTTATACAAAGACAACTGATTTAGAATGTCATTCAACTATTCTCAATGATGAATCTTAAATAGCTGCCTAAGCAGAGTAATTTAAATTAAACACATACTATTGTTAAGAAGGATCACTTTCAATGCTGTCCACCTTCACTCTGTTCTCAGACATGTCTCTCTCCCCCTTCCCTCTCCCGCAAAAAGTGCTTTGTTATCTTACCAACTCATCCTTTTACAAGTACCCTGGCTGCAACTGCTACATTTAATATTGTGAACAACCATTTAGTTCAATAAGTTTTAATTTTTGCTCTGACAAGAAGTCACCTTTCCAAATTTCAAAAGAACAATAATCAGCCACCCCTCATTAGGGACTATGTGCAACAAACTGTACAGGAAGACTAAAAGAATTTAGTAACCAGAAGAGGTGACCTACAATACAATAAGTTCTCATAAACATTAGCTACTCTTGCAAGAAATATTGCAAAGCATATTTTAAAAGCCACAAATCACATCTGGCAGGTAGAGACTGACAATCAGGGGTGGGGGGGGGAACACTTTCGTAATATCTTCTCGTCTCCTCTTTAGCTACTGGAAAGAGCACAGTGTGCACACATCATCACCATGAAAATCCGTCAATGAAACGACCCAAAATCATACAGCCTTTCAAAAACACTAAACACAGGGTGGTACAGCAAGCCTACTAAACTGCTGCCTCCAAGGAACATATAGTCACTGAATCTGCCTCAAAGTATTGCTAAAACAATAAATAATTTAAATATAAAAAACTGTCTTATCTGCACTGTTAACCATGAGGAAACCAAGAACCCCGGAACAGCTGAGGTTGGAAGGTGCCTCTGGAGGATCATCTGGTCCAACCCCCCTCAAACACAGTCAGCCAGAGCAGGCTGCTCACAACACAGTCCACTCAGGGGCTCGATATCCCCAAGGATCGAGACTCCACAACCTCTCCAAGCAACCACTTCCAGCGCTCGGCCACCCTCACAGCAAAGAGCTCTTTTCTTATGTTCTGCTGGGATTTCCTGGTATTGTGCCCTTTACCTCTGTCACTGGGCACCACTGAGAGGAGCTTGGCTCCATCTCCTTTACTCCCCCTTCATCAGGTATTTATACACACACTGATAAGAGGAACCAATTTTGAATATTCAAGTGTTATATTAAGTCTAACTTAACATTTTAGCTCATTATTAGCTGCTGAGGGTACAGAAGAATTGGACAAATTCATTTTCTAACTCACCTCTCCATGATCTGCTGTCTTCCTGGCCCTTATTCAATTCCATCACTTCATCACCTCTCACATGTTCAAAAGGCTACTTTCTTCCCCAAAGCATAAGCCTGGATTAGTCTGTGAAAAATAGCTAATTACCACACAAGCCTCTATGTCCAATACTGCTTTCTCCAGCACATAAAAAGATCACAGCTGCTTGTTTCTATAGTTTGATATTGCTTGTTTCCTAAACACTCTACTTTTGTTTCCCTCAGTGTCAGAGGGGAGTTGAGCTCTTCACTGAACTTTGAAAGCCTAGTACCACCTCAGCTCCTACAACTCTACATATTTATTTTCCTATAGGCGTCATTATAAGTGTCTTGAATTTTCTCAAAAAATATGAATGCATGCATGCATCTTTGCAATAAGTGATTATTCAGCTAAGGAAGTATCAGACTAAATATATCAAAAACAAAGTGTGTGGTAGATTGCGAACTTCTGCAAATGTTTTAAATACTTGCTGGCACAAAAACCTATTCCTGATTGCCCAGCTGGGCAAAACCAATTTAGTTTAGAACCATATAAACATTATAGATGAGCACTGACTTTTTGTTCACATACATGGATTTTTTTTCCATAGATGGTCTGGTATTAAGATTTACAAGTTACCTATATCAGCTTGTACAAAGAGCACGTATAGCATATACATTATCTGACATCAGCACTAGCATATACATCCTTTATCCAAATGTTAAATATGCATTTATTCTGCAAATCAGCAATACATAGCTTTCCGTGAACTGCAGAATGATGTAAGAGCTATTTCCAACAGATAGATTGATTCAGTAAAACAGTAAAGGATACACTGCAAAGGCCAAGACAAGCAGACACCACACTACGCTAATATTCATTTCTTGTGAGGGCTTCACAATACTGTAATAGGCTTCAGTCACCACATACACAACTGTAGCTGCAACAGTGAAATCCACCAACCACTGATATTCAGGAAAATAATGCAACGCTGAAAAAAAGTTTGCAAATCTTAGAAGTCTTATGACATTTTAAAGGAAGTTACTGACATATACAGAAAGGGATGACAATTACAAGTTATTTTCAAAAGCTGCTTCTTGAGGTTCAGATTATCCAAGTTAAGAGCAACAACAAGAGCAACTTCCCCCCCCACCCAGCAACCTCTTCTTTTAACCTGAACTTCGCTCTTCACCTGTTGCTTAATACTGGATTACTGTTCAGCAATTTATGAGGCTACAAAGTGTTACTATTTTACCATTTCAGCTTTTCTACATCAACCTGCTAATTTCAAGAAGCACAGCTAATTTATATCTCAACTTCAAGGTAGAAAACGGTCCTTTACTTAAATCTAAATACAGTTCTAAGTAAGAATTTTGATTCTCTATTTAAGATTAAAAGCTCACTGACATTCATTTAATCTACTATATATTGCTTCCTCTTTCTTTAAGAAACTCAAATCTAAAACAGTGATGGTTTATTCTTCAAGATTTTGTTTGTATCTCCTGTCTAGCAATAAATCATTGTGCACACTCCACTCTGAAAATTCTGGGGAACATGATGTACCCCATGTAGGCCAGGTGATTTGCAAAGAGAGAAGTTTTCTTTCTCCCATAGATGTTAGGAACTGCAAAGATCAATTCTTGATAACAAAGCGCCGTCTGACCTTCCCAAACAACTTCCTATATTAACAAGGCTTAAAAAACAAAACAAAACATCACATACACACACAGAATGTTACTGAGCATTTCTCATTTGTCTACAAGGCAAATGAGGCCAAAAAGAAGAAACTGGCTGAATCCTGGTATTTCAAGTAAAAATCTGGTATTTATTTTGAAACAACTATTTGGTTAGATTTAATGTATGCTTGTATATATAGCTTTATAAAGATACTTAAACCCTACACTGTATCAGTATCAGCAGATGCTTGTTTTACTCTCAGACAAACACTTTAATACTATTATTTGAAGCAAATAACACTAACTGAAACTTGTGAATGCTTTGCTTGCTTACACACTAGTTTCAAAAAGCTGCGTATTTCTGTTACAGATCAAGTCTTTTCAGTACTATTTTGGACAATTTAAGCAGAGAGATCTCCCTGCTCAGCACTATACTTTCTTTCTGTATTTACGCATACAGCAGATGGATGTAAAAACATCACTAGGGAGAAAATACTATCATACATACAAATCACCGATATCCATGTATGATCTCTCTGTAACAGAAAGTTGGTTATGTTTAAAGAATCAAAAATTAGCATTATAAAAACATCTATTAACTTTCAAAACATGTAATGTTGCTTATTTCTGCAGTGTCACTTTTGTTTTCTAAATATTTTACTTCAAACTTTCAGATGTGTGGGTGAAAGGTCTAGGTTTCAATGCTACAGTATATTTCCTATTTTAGCTGAAAAGAAAGCATGTTTCGACACCTGCCAGTTGTCATTTTCTTGTACAAAGCTATGATCACGTTTTTTATGTCTGTTTCAAATACACTGAGTGATGTGATCTTTTGGTGTTGTCTCATATCGCTAGGGATGCTTGATGCAACAATAGATGTGCTTTATGCTGGATTTCACCTACTCATCCTTTTCTGTAACACTGCTATTAAGATGTCACCCATGGAACAACAAAAGGAGATTTAACCCTAATTCTTGCCTTCTCACTTCATAATCAGTTGTGCTTTTATTCTTTCATTGTCTATCAAAAAAGATATTCCAGTGTTTATCGCAAACACTCGATAAAAAAACAATGTACCATAACGTCACGATGTATTTGACACAATATACTGTCATCCGCATCCACTTATTCTTACCTAGAGTGTCCCTTTCAGTCACAGACTTTGTTTCCAGATGAAGATCAATGTCTTTTGGAATGGTTAGGGGCTTGTTTTCAATATGACCATTATATTTTCTGTAAAAAAAAAATAAAACAAAACAAAACATATGGATACAAAAAAGTCAACTTGTTATTTATATAGTGACATTTCAAATTTAAGAAGCATGCAGATCACTTGTTCCCAAATGCAAACATTTTTATCTAGGTAAAAAAGCATTAACTCAAGTTCAAACATGCACATATCTTGAGAAGCAACTGGGTATGTCAGCAGTTACTAGCTTTATCTCAAAAGGCTCTGAAATACTATTGTTGCTACACATAGAGGTTTAAACAGCATCTGTATGTTGCATCCTCCTGAGAACATTTTAGGGCAGTATCAGATGGGCACCCTCTGCTCCAGCACATTAGTTTCCTCTGAAAGGGAACTGCACAGTTCAGGCAGGCAGCAACCTATAAGGCACTTCAATAGGTTCCCCCAATCTCAGTAGTCTAGTGATACGACTGCAGCTATAGAACATATCCACCCTGTCACACAAATATACAATAAAAAAATAAAAAATAAAGAAAGAAAGAAAAAGTTGAGACTTGGCCTTTGAGGTCTAGAACGGGAGACTAATCTAATCTTTTCTCTAATCTAAAGAGAAACGTGTAAAATACCATAGAATTATTTCAACTTATATCCTTCTGGAGTATTTAGTTAGTCTGCACGGAACTGGTCTGAAAGATCACCTTTGCTAACCAGGGTAAAAAACTCACTTCACTACTATATTAAAATCACCACACAACCACAACAAAAACATGACATTGAAGCAGACCACAAAATGTTTTGCTAGGCAAAAAAAGAAAAAACACCAACCTCAAAACATGTAAAAAGAAAAAAACAGCAACCTCTGCCACATTTTAGAATGGCACCTCTGAAATCAGGAGAGGGGGATTTTCTATTGAAAGAAGTATCATTGGGACATAAGCATGAAAATGAATTTCAATCAATTGTGGACTTATTTTTAAAGAATCATGTCCTACCAGCTAATGTGCAAGACAAGAATTAAGATCATGTGAAAAATAATATTTATGAATGCTTTATGCTGTATTCTTAATATCCCTTAGCTGAAGCACAAAACTTTTAATGAATGAATTCCAAAAAATGAGATAGGAGCCTAAAGCATTACACAAAAAAAATCATGTGTCCAAGTCTAAGTGAGAATTCCCAAACGCTGCATAGCCACTTGAATATCTGCAGACTTCTGCGTGCTTCCCCTCCAACCCAGTTACACTCTTATGTTTTCTCCTGTGTTCACCCATGAGTACCATCATCTTGAGTGAGATGAGCATTTTGATAACTGAAGTCATCTGAGCTCAACAAAATTTGGTGCTCCTATACTTTAATTACCCTAAGGGACCCATAATCCAAGAGACACGCTCAGAACATAACTAGCATCACTGACAGCCTTTAATTCAGAGTAATTCATAGTAGCAATGGACCTTTTCATTAGCCTAACAATATTATATACTTTTTCTATTTCAGAATGGTTTGCTTTATATAATATTTATGTGCTATTGAAACTTACAGCACAATATTACTGAAGTGTAGTATGCATTGAATAAAACGGACTAGCAGGATTCAGGTTCAAACTACAGCCATTTCCAAGCCTCATTTCCAAGCAAGTTCCCTGGAACCCCTTTTGCCATTTCTATTAACTAAATTTGGAAAAGTAGTTAAGTAAGGAGCAGGTATTACATTTTATAAGAGCTTGAAAAAAAAAAAAAAAACATTCTTTATCTTGAAGACACATGGGAAAAGTCAATAGATGCACCTTTATTTCAGCCTCACATCTCCTTGGCTCAAATGAGCACTGCATTCCAACACATGCAAGCTAAAAAAAAGTATATCCCAAACAAGTAAATAGGAACAATTCCTACTTTAAAATAGGCCTCTCCTCCAATAACAGCAGCTTCTTCAAAGAACAAAGAAGTACATTCATTGACTGAAAAGTATGGTATTACACATCCTATTATCACAATAGCAAAACAAAGAAAGCAGCGTTTAAGTCTCCACATTACCATTCTGGTTTCTCTGAAGTCCCAGATCCACAAATAAAATTTACCTCATTACAAACAACTACATACAACTATTAAAAGTGTATTTTTAGTTACATACTTATGTACGATGACAATTAGACCACTCTTATAATAATTAAATGACCCAAAACAAAAGCTGAGTATGTAGAATCATTAAATATTAAAAAGGAAAGACTTAATTTTTTACCTCAAAACCTGGCAAATAAGGTTGCTACCCATGTAGCTTAAGAAATGGAAAAAAATTTGCTTTGATTTTATGATGAACAGACAACATAGTCTGTGGTTTCACGTAAAATTTAGATAGTAAGAATGGTAGGAGAGTAGTTCATACTGGAACAAAAAAAAAAAAAGGACTAAAAGAAACC